GTGTGTTATTGTGGCTACCACACTCTCAGGGAGGGTGATGGTGTGTTATTGTGGCTACCACACTCCCAGGGAGGGTGATGGTGTGTTATTGTGGCTACCACACTCTCAGGGAGGGTGATGGTGTGTTATTGTGGCTACCACACTCTCAGGGAGGGTGATGGTGTGTTATTGTGGCTACCACACTCGCAGGGAGGGTGATGGTGTGTTATTGTGGCTACCACACTCTCAGGGAGGGTGATGGTGTGTTATTGTGGCTACCACACTCTCAGGGAGGGTGATGGTGTGTTATTGTGGCTACCACACTCTCAGGAGGGTGATGGTGTGTTATTGTGGCTACCACACTCTCAGGGAGGGTGATGGTGTGTTATTGTGGCTACCACACTCTCAGGGAGGGTGATGGTGTGTTATTGTGGCTACCACACTCTCAGGGAGGGTGATGGTGTGTTATTGTGGCTACCACACTCTCAGGGAGGGTGATGGTGTGTTATTGTGGCTACCACACTCTCAGGGAGGGTGATGGTGTGTTATTGTGGCTACCACACTCTCAGGGAGGGTGTGATGGTGTGTTATTGTGGCTACCACATCTCAGGAGGGTGATGGTGTGTTATTTTGGCTACCACACTCTCAGGGAGGTGATGGTGTGTTATTGTGGCTACCACACTCTCAGGGAGGGTGATGGTGTGTTATTGTGGCTCCCACACACTCAGGGAGGGTGATGGTGTGTTATTGTGGCTCCCACACTCTCAGGGAGGGTGATGGTGTGTTATTGTGGCTACCACACTCTCAGGGGGTGATGGTGTGTTATTTTGGCTACCACACTCTCAGGGAGGGTGATGGTGTGTTATTGTGGCTACCACACTCTCAGGGAGGGTGATGGTGTGTTATTGTGGCTACCACACACTCAGGGAGGGTGATGGTGTGTTATTGTGGCTACCACACTCTCAGGGAGGGTGATGGTGTGTTATTGTGGCTACCACACACTCAGGGAGGGTGATGGTGTGTTATTGTGGCTACCACACTCTCAGGGAGGGTGATGGTGTGTTATTGTGGCTACCACACTCTCAGGAGGGTGATGGTGTGTTATTGTGGCTACCACACACTCAGGGAGGGTGATGGTGTGTTATTGTGGCTACCACACTCTCAGGGAGGGTGATGGTGTGTTATTGTGGCTACCACACACTCAGGGAGGGTGATGGTGTGTTATTGTGGCTACCACACTCTCAGGGAGGGTGATGGTGTGTTATTGTGGCTACCACACTCTCAGGGAGGGTGATGGTGTGTTATTGTGGCTACCACACTCTCAGGGAGGGTGATGGTGTGTTATTGTGGCTACCACACTCTCAGGGAGGGTGATGGTGTGTTATTGTGGCTCCCACACTCTCAGGGAGGGTGATGGTGTGTTATTGTGGCTACCACACACTCAGGGAGGGTGATGGTGTGTTATTGTGGCTACCACACTCTCAGGGAGGGTGATGGTGTGTTATTGTGGCTACCACACACTCAGGGAGGGTGATGGTGTGTTATTGTGGCTACCACACTCTCAGGGAGGGTGATGGTGTGTTATTGTGGCTACCACACTCTCAGGGAGGGTGATGGTGTGTTATTGTGGCTACCACACTCTCAGGGAGGGTGATGGTGTGTTATTGTGGCTACCACACACTCAGGGAGGGTGATGGTGTGTTATTGTGGCTACACACATCAGGGAGGGTGATGGTGTGTTATTGTGGCTACCACACTCTCAGGGAGGGTGATGGTGTGTTATTGTGGCTACCACACACTCAGGGAGGGTGATGGTGTGTTATTGTGGCTACCACACTCTAGGGAGGGTGATGGTGTGTTATTGTGGCTACCACACACTCAGGGAGGGTGATGGTGTGTTATTGTGGCTACCACACTCTCAGGGAGGGTGATGGTGTGTTATTGTGGCTACCACACTCTCAGGGAGGGTGATGGTGTGTTATTGTGGGCTACCACACACTCAGGGAGGGTGATGGTGTGTTATTGTGGCTACCACACACTCAGGGAGGGTGAGGGTGTGTTATTGTGGCTACCACACTCTCAGGGAGGGTGATGGTGTGTTATTGTGGCTACCACACACTCAGGGAGGGTGATGGTGTGTTATTGTGGCTACCACACTCTCAGGGAGGGTGATGGTGTGTTATTGTGGCTACCACACACTCAGGGAGGGTGATGGTGTGTTATTGTGGCTACCACACTCTCAGGGAGGTGATGGTGTGTTATTGTGGCTACCACACTCTCAGGGAGGGTGATGGTGTGTTATTGTGGCTACCACACACTCAGGGAGGGTGATGGTGTGTTATTGTGGCTACCACACACTCAGGGAGGGTGATGGTGTGTTATTGTGGCTACCACACTCTCAGGGAGGGTGATGGTGTATTGAAGCTGAGAATGCAACTTCTAATCAGCTTCTAACTTAGTGTTGGTGTATTTTGAGCCATTGGTCTTTGTTGCATAACTAGAGAAGCTTCTTTTGATTGACCTTAAGCTTTCTAAGCTTGGTGTATCTTATTGGAAGATTCGAATTGGTGTAGGGATGTGAAGATGCCAATTTGCAATTTTTATTGAAGAAATTGTGATATTAGCATACCCTAAGATAATCTGCGAATGATTCTCTGGCTGACTTCGAGTCTTCATTGATTACATTCAGTCGCATTAGAATCTTACACTGTACTCATCATTATTCCTGATACGTGTATTGAGACAGAGGAGCCTGTGTGGGGATACCTTTTTTGGATCGTGCAGCGATCGAAACTTATTTTATCAGCATAGCCACTTACTCTTGTTTTTTCACTTGATACATACATATATGTGTATATAAATATACAAGTATGTCTACAGTGAGCACTGAATATATCCCAGTGCATCCAGTCTGACTGGAAGTGTGGGTTGCGTCCATCCAGTAAAAAGGTTCAGGACCTTTTCCCTATTTGGACCTAAGAGGAGAGTCATATTCTTGGTTTGGGACTGCTGATTAACGGGGACCGTCAGTTAAAGTAGATTAACTAAGGGAGAGAGAGACATTTAGTGAGGAAGTTTATAAAGGCATCATGTGTGCCACTGATCCAGCCTGATGACCTCGCGATGTATTATTTGTTTTACTAGAATCGAATTTATGGTGTTGTACTGAAGACGAGAAACGAGAAAAGTACTGTGGACAGGGTCAGTGACTTGTATTCATGGCAAGGTGCTCATGATTTCATGATTGGAGGGTTGAAGAATATATCTTTTGCTTTTCTCGTCTAGTCTAGCAGCAGTTCTGTGGTGCCAGCAAGAGTGCCATCATCAAGGTATCAGGTGTTGAGCTGGCTGGACATGCTCTCTCTGACTTCCTTAATAACTCGACACTTAGACGAAGGGTGTCGCCCTCTTGGACACTTTCATACCAGTCAATTTTGTGTTCACGGCAGAGAAGTCTGGAGACATCTCAGTAACACGAGTGGATAAATGGATGTATGAATAAAGGGGAGGGAAGGTGTATTGAGCAGCAGTGAGTGATAGGCGAGTACTTCTGCTCTTGTTGCTGTTGTTATTGCTGCTACTGCTGTTGTTGTTGCTGCTGTCTTCTGTAATGTTGATTGCATACTTAATGATAATATACTCGTATGTCCTCGTATATCAACCACCGTCAGTAACGGCTGAGGAATTCACAGATCAGATAGTAAGTTAGACAGCTGTCTTGAAAGGCCGGAAAACTCCACACCAAATGTAAAGTGGAAGTTGGCTCATCACAACATTGTACCAGCACATACATACATACCTGGGAACTAATGAGTGCCAGTGGTGACACTTCAAATTGTTTGTGTTCTCTCATTAAAATATTGTTCATTGTTGACGGCGCCGTTCAGGGCAGGATAAATATTAGACCTGGAAGAGATACAAATATCAGTTACGGCCAGCATATAGCCAGTAAAGCGTTTAAATTACTGGAAACGCCTTAAAGTACTAAATATATGCTTACTGAAGCGGAGAGAGAGATAAATGTGATAATATATACCTGTAAAGTACTTGATTGCTTTGTCCCAAATCTGCACACTGCCATAACAACATACTGGAGTGAAAAGTAGGGGTGCAGTGGGCACAATAAGGGAACACTGTATCAACGTCTGTGGCCCCAAACTGTTCAACATCTTATTAGAAGATAACAGGTACATTGCTGGGACAAGTGTAGAAGTCTTCAAGCGAAAACGGGACTAGTATCTTCATCTGCTGTGATGGATATATGGTCAAGCTGGCCGCCAACACTAACAGCGTGGATGACAAGGCAAGCACAAGATGAGCGTTCCCCAAGACCAGGCTCCGGGAATAAAAAAAAAACTCGAAACTTATATAAGGTATATACTCGAGATTCGATATATATATATATATATATATATATATATATATATATATATATATATATATATATATATATATATATTATATATATATATATATATATATAATATATATATATATATATATAAATCCAAATATTTTTCCTTGAAGCCTTTTTATCCACTTCTCCGAGGCTATGGGTCCCACAATTTACACCAGAGGTGGACCCCATCATATATATATATATATATATATATATATATATATATATATATATATTATATATTATATATATATATTATATATATATATATATATATATATATACTTTCGTTTTTCCTTTTGGGCCACCCCGCCTCGGTGGGATACGGCCGGTGCGTTGAAAGAAAAACGAAAGTATATATATATTTCAAAACTCACAAACATGAATACATTAGCACAATATATCAAAGATTATGGATCTGGTGGAGCTCCTCTGAAGGTGGACGTGAGTCCACTACGCAGTATAAAGTGACCAACGCGGTCAAAGCTCTCTAAGTAACACTACTACTACTACATTTTACATGTACAAGTATTATGTTGTTTTATGACTGTAAATAAGGTCAAAATATATAACATGTGTGACGAAGTATGGGTGTTTACAATATCGTTTCTTTGTGTTGTAGTGACAGAGGTACTCAGTAGGCAGGCGGACCTGTGAATTCGCATCCTGTAGGCGCGGGGATAAGCACACAGGGGCGTAGCTCAGGACTCGTTCCTCCCCACCTTCAGGAGTCATCAGGTCTGCGCTCTGCCGCCCCCATACAACTTTATACAGGGCAGCATCACTCTGTATCTGCCGAGTTCTTCGAGATTCTTGTGTGATATCTTTAAGGGAGTGACATCAGGCACATAATACTTAGTGACGTGTGCTATTGGGCAATTTTCTGAGCCTAACAACCTGTGTATGACTGAGGTTAGCTAAGTGGAGAATATACAGTACAAGAGCCAGTGATTACAGCTGTCACGTTTGCTTCGTCGAGAAGTGTTACCAGACGTGAACAGCCAGTGTGTACACTTGAAGTGTTGAACTTAGTAATATTTAAGTGTACCTATAAGTGTAGGATAAGTGTAGTGATGAAGGAAGAAGGTGTGAGTGCTCACGGTGAGTCGCTACGAGCACTCAACCTGCAGCCTCCCAAGATTCGTAGTCACCTCGACCTGCTAGCTGACCCCCTGGCGCCCCTCCGTGCACCCTCCAGCCCCGCCCCCGCCCATGCTCGCGTCGCCGCCGCCCACAGTCTGAGGGGAGTGTTCCAGTCTCGGCTTAATGGTCCGCTGGGTTCACTACAGCCGCCAAAGCGTCCTAACAACCCACTGGCCGCGGGTAGGTCACCCCGTTCAGTGAAGCGTCCTAGTAGCCGCTACCTGCGCCCACCTAGGGCAAGGAGTCAGCCACCCACTGACAAGGAAAATGTTGCCGGTTTCGAGGATGAGGAGGATGAGGGGTTTGAGGATGTGTGGGCGGGGAATGGGCGGGAGGAATCACGGTGTATGGGTGGTGGGCGTGATGGTGAGGACACTAACACCAGGTGGGCTGGAGATCTTACTCGACTCTCCTCAGCACTGGACCAGCTGGCTGCCCTCTGTAACGCAACTCAGCGGCCACACAGTGCCCAGGCTGACACCTTCCCTACTAGCAGTGACCCCTCCAGCCCTGCCCACCATTCCTACCATCCTCCCCCCAATCCCTTGCCCACCACCGTATCCCCGACGTGTCCAGTGCACGGCACCAACGCCCTACTAGCCCACACCTTGGCCCACACCCAGGCCTCGGGTGAGGGGGGTCGAGCCTCCCCCAGGACAATCAATCCACAGTTCCAGGAGAGTGATTCTGGGGGCAGCTCTGCTGGGCATGTTGCCTCCTCTCCACCCAGCCCTACCGAGGCCTCCGGTGGGAGGGAGGTTGCGGGCGTGGCCAGGAGGATGGGCGTGGCTCTCCGTGCCCTGGGCGGGCGGCTGGCAGCCTGGAGCAGGGGCGTGGATGGTTCTCAGGGGTCATCGCAACTCTCATCATCGTCGTCGTCATCGTCGTCACCAGTAGCTGCCAGACATTCAGGTGAGTTATGTCAGCATCAGTGATGACTGGAGCTGTGGTAAGTTCTTGATGACTGGAGCTGTGGTAAGTTCTTGATGACTGGAGCTGTGGTAAGTACTTGATGACTGGAGCTGTGGTAAGTACTTGATGACTGGAGCTGTGGTAAGTACTTGATGACTGGAGCTGTGGTAAGTACTTGATGACTGGAGCTGTGGTAAGTACTTGATGACTGGAGCTGTGGTAAGTTCTTGATGACTGGAGCTGTGGTAAGTACTTAATGTGAATATTATCCTGGCCGGTATTTATAATGGTTATAATTATAACCATAATTTTTAAAGGGATGGACCGGTAAGCCGGCAGAAGGCCTCGGTCAGATGACCAAAATCTCAAGCTGCGGGTCATCATATGACTAAGACCCGCGTCAGGAAACGCTTGTCTTGTTTCCTGATAAATCTTACTTGACCTAACCTACTTGATGTGATCATAAATGTGTGAATACTCTGTTATTGTTTCTGGGGATTATTTTTCCCAGGATCCGGGTCTTAGACCTGCCAGGTAGCCGGTGTTGGACCTGCCAGGTAGCCGGTGTTGGACCTGCCAGGTAGCCAGTGCTGCCCACCAGGTTGGTAAGGAAATATTACTGGATTAAGAACAATGTATCAAGAAGTACAAAGGAAAGTGAAAGTGTGCAGGTATTGAATGTAAGTAGAAGTTTGTGAGATTTACCTGTCATATTACGTGTTTATGAGACAGGAACGATCGCCAGTACTGTTAGAGTGAAAATAAAGCAGGTTTCCACTTCACATTCACTTGACAGGAACCTTCACTGCTCGGTTAAATTCTTTCTGACATTTGAACTACTGAAGTCCCTTGACCTGTACTCCTTGAAACGAAGGCGAGAAGGGTACATTATAATCTACTGGAAAATTCTGGAGGGATTGGTCTCAAACCTGCTCACTGAAATCACTCCGTACGAAAACAAGAGGCTTGGTAGACAGTGCAAAATATTGCGGAAGTAGGTAAGCTCTTGAATACTGTGAAAGGAGTGTAAGGGGACCAAGACTCTTCATGCTCCCTTCAACGGGAAACTTGGCAAGTCACTTAATTCAATTTCCGATCAGTCTTATGTGGTGCATACAATGAATTGTCACTGGTAATAACAGCCTGGTCGATCAAGTCAGCAACCAGGAGGGCCTGATTTGGAACTGGGCAGCGGGGGTCAGTGACCCCCAAAATCGACTCCAGGTCGATCCACTTATCCACATAATGGATAAGTGGATCTTAATCATTGTACCTCCACCATCCACACAGACTAATGCAAAGAATCTTTGGATTATTTTTTCTAAATATTGTGTACAGTGTGAGAGAGCGGTGCAGGGAATTATACAGTCTACACACAGTGTGAGAGAGCGGTGCAGGGAATTATACAGTCTACACACAGTGTGAGAGAGCGGTGTTGGGAATCACACAATCTAAACACTGTGATAGAGCGGTGCAGGGAATCCTACAGTCTACACATGGTCGATAGATTAGCCATTCATGGCATTAGTGGTTCTTTTCCATCGTTTTTACCCTTTTAGAGACCACCGCTAACGCTTAAGGAAACAGAGCCCACACACACACGTGTGTGCACCTACCGCACACACGTGTGTGCACCTACCGCACACACGCGGAAGAAAATCCTTTCGCCATGGTATAAAAAACCACAAAATACGTGCAAAAGGAATAACTGGAAAACTGGACAGATGAATATATAACTATCTAACAAAAGAGCCCAGAGTATAATAGTGAACAGATTGAAATCAGAGGCTGCCATAGTGAATAGCTCTGTTGCCCAAGGCTCAGTACTGGCCATTGTTCTCTTTCATGTTCTTTAATCTGACGTAGGCAGAGGCATAAATCATTACCCCGTATCATCCTTTGCAGAGAGTTACATCCATTGACGACACAGCAAACCTCCAAGCTGATATAAAAAAAAAAAGTCTTCCAGTGGGCCACTGACAGTATGATCAATGAGGACAGGTTTCAGTTATTTCGGTATGGAAAGATAGAGGAAATAAGGACTGGAACGGAGTATAAATCAAACTGGAGTGACCCAATAGAGCGTAAGATTAATGTGAGACACCTGGAGGTGATCATGTCAGATGATCTCACCTTCAAAGATCACAGTATCAATTTTACAGCCTCAAGGAAAACATTAAGCTGAATAAGTAAAACTTCAGAACAAGAACTGCAAAGCCAGTGATGATACTCTTTAAGATATTTCTCTCTAGGCTGGAATACCATTGTACTCTTAAGAACTCTGTTTATCGGGAACGTTTAAAGTCCCTCGATCTGTGCTCCTTGAAACTTAGGCGAGAGAGATACATTATAACCTAGACCTGGAAAATTCTAGAAAGATTGGTCCCAAATATGCTCACACAAATCGTTCCTCGGGAAACTAAGAGGCTTGGAAGTTGGTGGAAAATACTCCCAGTAAAAAGCAGGGGTGCAGGGAGTACACTAAAGAGATACTCTGTAAGTGGGAAAGGACCAACACTTTTCAACCTCCTCCCTTCATATATAGGGTGATGACCAACAGACTGGCTGTCTTTACGAAAGAACTGGAGAAGTTTCTCAAGTCAGTCAATGATCAGCCGGGTTGTGGTGCTTATGATGGACTTCATGCGGTTAGCAACAACAGCCTGGTTGATTCGAGTTATCCACCTGGGGGCCTGGTCTGGGACCAGGCCACGGGGGCGTCGACTCTCGGAACACGCTCCAGGTGTTTGTGTCTGTAGAAAAAGTTATTCAATGTTCGTGCGTGTAGAGGAAGTTATCACTCAACGTTCGTGTGTGTAGAGGAAGTTATCACTCAACGTTCGTGTGTGTAGAGGAAATTATCACTCAACGTTCGTGCGTGTAGAGGAAGTTATCACTCAACGTTCGTGCGTGTAGAGGAAGTTATCACTCAACGTTCGTGCGTGTAGAGGAAGTTATCACTTAACGTTCGTGCGTGTAGAGGAAGTTATCACTCAGCGTTCGTGTGTGTAGAGGAAGTTATCACTCAACGTTCGTGCGTGTAGAGGAAGTTATCACTCAACGTTCGTGCGTGTAGAGGAAGTTATCACTCAACGTTCGTGCGTGTAGAGGAAGTTATCACTCAACGTTCGTGCGTGTAGAGGAAGTTATCACTCAGCGTTCGTGTGTGTAGAGGAAGTTATCACTCAACGTTCATGCGTGTAGAGGAAGTTATCACTCAACGTTCATGCGTGTAGAGGAAGTTATCACTTAACGTTCATGCGTGTAGAGGAAGTTATCACTCAACGTTCGTGCGTGTAGAGGAAGTTATCACTCAACGTTCGTGCGTGTAGAGGAAGTTATCACGGAGTGTTCGTATCTTTGGTTTAGATCACAGTAAGAGTATAAATAAATTAATATAATGTGTGTTCATCTGTTAGTCTCTATTAATATTCCAGCGGCTGATCGCCCCTGCGTCCCGCTCTCAGACTAGGCTTCCAAAAAAAGGAAAGAAAGTATTTCAGGCAATTAAAGATAAATATATGTTGTATGTAAGAAAATGTTTGTACAATTTACCTGCCAACTTTCATGGTCCTCAGACAGAAAGAAAAGACTATCATTCTTGCTAGAGTGCAAAGTGTTTAACATGCTTCTGTTTCACAATGACTTGACAGGTGTTGGATGCTAACAATCTTTTATTCTACAGCATAAAAAATACTATTGAAAACTTATAGGAGCTACATACATGCATATAATGACGTTAAAAAACATACAGGAGCTACGTCTATATATGCATATGTATAATGCTACTGGAAGCCTACAGGAGCTACGTATACCTGAAACATTATTGTTGAAAAATATACGAGAGCTACATACATACAGGCATATAATTCATGTACATATTAGAACTACTTTGGCAAGAATGTAGTTCTCGGATGGTATTGCTGTTAATTGCTGGGGTATTTACCTGTGTGAGGTAGAATGGTGAGTGCAGGTGTGCAGCAGCGGCACCGATATAATATTTTTTTTTTATTTCTCTTACAGAAGAATTTTGTTATAATATTGTGAGCAACATAACTTGAGGTAAAGTTTAGATTAAGCTTCTCATTTCCGATGGAGACGAAACTTTGGACGCGTCCAGCTCGGTAAAACTGACAAAAAAGTTGAGATTTTTATGCAGAAGTTCGTATTTGATCCAAACTTTGCCTCTGTAGCCAGCGAGGTGAAATTTCTGATCTAGATTACGTTAGATATGTTGGATTAGTGTTGTCTGTTCTCGGATTTGTCCATCTTTCTTGTGAGAGTTTTTCAGCAATTTGCCATAATCATTCATTATATATATTATATATATATATATATAGGATGAGGGTCCCCATTCCAGCTATAGAGGTCGTACCTCCCTATATATATATATATATATATATATATATATATATATATATATATATATATATATATATATATATATATATATTATATATATATTATATATATATATTATATATATATATATATATATATATATATATATATATATATATATATATATATATATATATATATATATATATATATATATATATATATATATTATATTATTATAACTGCATTCGACCCCACGAAACATCGTCCCGCATCAAGAGAACTTCCCACTGCCACGAATGTCCTCCAAGCATGAAACAAGTCTAGTTCGCTAGGCTCATGTTGTTTGTAGGATCGATGGCGGAGTGGATAGGGTGACACGTACGTTGTGTTGTCTCTTGAGGTGGGACACTGTGTCGTGGGGTCGAATCCTTGCCTGCCACAGTTTCGTAAATGATTATATATATATATATATATATATATATATATATATATATATATATATATATATATATATATATATATATATAATATATATATTGCATCTTTTGTCGCAAAAGGAGCGATAAAAGATGCAAAATAACCACAGGAGGAGTTGAATAATAGCTGTAGAGTCGTCCCCCTGAATGAATCAGCTTGGTCTTTCTACTCATTTCTGCAACATTGCAAGCTCCTGATGTGTTGATTGCAACACATGTGATTTAAAAAGACACCTCTGTAAACGCTGACATATTTTTTATAAAAATAAATATATGCCTAGTGTTTACTTTTGAGAGTATAAAATAGGGCAAGGTCTTACAATTTGAGAATAGACCAAGGTAATGAATTAAACACATGTGCAACATCTGCATATCGTAATCTGGTAGACCTTTCCCTATCCAGTAAGTAAGTTTATTCAGGTATACACAAATACAGTTACATAGAATTATCGTACATAGCAGCATATGTGTAGAGAACCTAGGATAACCCAAAAAAGTCAGACAGAGTGACTTATTTCCAGTGGCTTTATCAATG